AGTCCATGGCAGAAGGCCATGAGCAATAAGAACTAAAGGCCAGCCCTTCAGAGACATCTGCCCAAAGCTTATACCCTGAAGCACCATGAGGCCAGCCCTCTAGAGAGTCACTTGAACTTAAAGAGTTAACTGACCAAACTCAAAGATGGATTTACGTTCTTGGGCTAATACTTCACTTAGGCATCAGGCTAGGAAAGAGACCATGTACAAACTGACTTTGAAAATATGAATCCACCCACTTCTGGCCACCAGGACAGAACTACAAAACACATCTTCCCCTTCCCCCATTCAAGAAGCACCTAAGCACTCAGCAAGGTGGACACAGAGCTCCAGGCAAGACCAGGACTCCAGCCATGCACAGCTGCACACATAACCAGACAGGCAGTTCTCAGATGCCACTCAGAGGACCAGCCGCTGGCCCTGCAGCCTCAGTTCCACCTAACAGCGCTCATTTAAACCCAGCCCAGAAGTACTCAATTCCTTTCCAAGAACAACAAAGGCTATTTAAAAACACAATCTAAAGTAATAAACCCATAACCTAAACAAATAATCACCTGGAAGAATTTGGCAATATGCTTCTGAAACTGTCAGGAGAAGGCTGCTCCCAGGAAGACACGCCCCAGTCCAGGGACCAAGCAAGAGAGATTCCACATCAGCTCTGGAGCTAGAAAGGGGCTCCCGGCACTGAGCTCCTTTTGACCAATACCACTACAACAAAACAGCAAGCAACCGCCTGGAATTGATAACGGAGGGGTTCTGCCCCTAATTGCAACTAAACAAACCAGGGTCAAAGCTACTCTTAATGCCTATAAGATGAAGCAGGCTCCAGCACTCTCCACATACGTATGAGCTGGGCCCAGTTTCACAAGCCACAAACACACAAGCGACTGTGATCTCTCACTTCACACGTGCCTGTCAAATCAGCTGTTTAAATGACTCTAGCCAGAGTGGGAGAGCAAGATGGAGGGAGCGGGGTGCAGCATTCCCCACCACAGGGACCCTGGGCAGGTAGCAGCCACTATCTAGCCCAGTGGGTGTTGGTAGGACAGAAGGCTGAGCTGCTGCCCAGTACCAGGTGTCAGCAGTTCAGCTCCAGGGCAAAAGCACATGGGTTTCCAAGGAGCTACACAGAAACCTTGCAATGACTGAGAGTCAGATCAGATACAGAACTGTCCTTGGGATAACAAGATCTGATGTCCCCCACTGTAGGGCACATGTGAAATGCACAGTGAACTGGAATTCTACAACCCCAGTCCAGCACTTGATTCTGTAAAGTAAATAGCATTTGGAGTCACCCTTTAAACTTGTTACTAACTTATTACAATTTTCACCCTAAATGTTACCAGACTCCTCTTAGACTTGTTTAAGTGAAGAATTTTCAACATATCCAATAAGTTACTTCTAAAAAATATTAAAAGACTGACAATGAAACATGAGAGTTACCAAAAAAGAGGGAGGTGGATCTACAAATAAAAGCACAGGACAGGACAGCCCACGAGTCTTGGCTGTGGCACCAGAGCCAGATTAAGCCGGAGGAAATATTTCGGCATAATCCAATGCCTGAGGCCTGGCAGGGTGAGCACCAGGAGCCTGCCACTGACTATACAGATGGCAGCCGGATGCCCAGGGACACAGAACCCCAGAGGCAAACCAAGAAGGTGGCCTTCACAACCAGCCCTAGAGTTTGGCATGCTTTCAATTCCTACACAAAAGGAAAGCTGGTTTCACTTCACAGCCTAAGAAACAACTGTATACCTATAAAACACCTAAGCCACTTCTCCCAGCAAGCCTGCCCACACTGACTAACCACTGAAGCGCCCTGACTGGAAGTGTCGCTTCCAGTGAAAAGCACGTAAGCTGCAGAGGTAGTGGAGGATAACAAAGATTCACCCCTGTATTAGGATCAAAGTTTGAGGGGAAACAATCTACACATCCTGCTAAAATCACCTCCCCACCCGGTTGATGGAAGACACAACCCCACACCAGCTATAGCGAAATGACACCCCAGCTGGGACCCCCTTGACTACAGCATACATAAAATCCCTTCAACTGAGCCACGGTGAGTTTCCTTGGTCATCTGAATTGGGACCTTTCAAATTTGTAAATTTAAAGAGAGTTTCCATTTTTTTTTAAAGTATGTCTACTCCCCTTCAGAACAGAAAATTTCTCATTGAGCAAAAATGGATGGAATACGTATCTCCTAAAGCCAGAGTGATATGCACTGTTAGCTAAAGTCCTGTCTCCAACTGGCACAGCCATCCCAGCTCGATCACAGGACAGAAAGTACCTGATCTTCAGTTACTACCAGTGTCTCTAGTCTTCACATGCCCACCTCCCAATAATTCCAACTTACAGCCCAGTGTCAGGTTTTCTTTTTTTTTTTTTTTTAA